GTCGATAATAATCGAGCATTCTTTATGGCTTTAAAAGCGCTGGAGCCCTGTCACTTTTACTCCTAAGCGCCAAATTAGAGTTACTCCATGCCTATCTAGCTCAGGCACTAACTACTGCAGTATGTGCCATCTTCCGTCTCCAGAGAATCTTTTCGCAGTAAAAAATAGCACAGTGTTTCCGGCTATTTCATAAGCACATAAAAAATTTGTTAGAAATGAAACTGTGTCCTCTGCTTGAGCAGTTGCTGAGAAAACACAAACTCATAGGAACGCCTGCAAAAGCGATAAAGATAGAAGAAGAAACGAAAGAAAGCATACTTAGATCACTAAAAAGCGATATGTTCTTTGCTGAAATAGAAGAGTGCGAAACAAAGGGAATTTCTCTGTGCTATGACGAACTAGTAGAGTACACTCTTCCAGCAGCGAGCAAAAAAAGTAGCACAGAAGAAGCAGAGCACATCCAAAAAGAGCTAAAAGTAATATTTAGAGAGCTAGTGCATTCTTCCTATCTGTCAGTCCACGGGGATAAGTACTATCTCCACATAAAGTACAATGAAGAGCCAGACAGCGTCCTTGCAGGACCCGTGAAGGCAGCAGAAAATGTGGAGGATATAAAAGAATTTAAAAGCCGATGGGGAAGTAAAGTAGAGCACAGAAAGTTCAACGACGGAAAAGTGAGAGTGTGTGTGTCGTTTACAGAGAATGAGAACACAGTAAGATACCAGCTACTGAGCAAAATATTCAGAATAAAAACGGTTGAGGATAAAAAAACAGACAATACCGAGAGAGAAGGAAGAATTCTCACTCCAACCGTTCCTGCAGATGTAGTAAACCATTCATACAACGAAGCAAACAAGAAGAAAGCGAGCGAAGCAATCCTCAGAGCACTGGATTCCATCCGAGCAACATTCCCCATCAGCATACTTGAGTCGCTTTTCACAGGAAGCTACCAAAGAAAAACAAGAGCATCGATAGAGAACAGAACAAAAATTTATCTGAAAGTGGGAAGGGGCCACAGCTGGCCAAAAGACAACAAAGTGCTGTCAGATGCATCGATAACAGCCTTGAACGGGGTGCTGGGTAAGTCATTGGAATACTTCAATAAGACACAGGGCATATCTAAAGACAATACTCTCTACAGCAATCTGTACGGAGAAGACTTTGAATTTATTTTTGATGTCGAGGGAGAGCAGAAGCTGCAGCAGGATAAATACTATCTGATGAATTTTAGAACAGAATACGAAAGGTTCTTCCAAGAAGTTTCAGAGAAGAACAAGGTGTTTCCAAGGCTCTGCGCGCTCATTAAAAACCTTCTGCACGCCCATGGAATATATCCACACTATATAACGGATAAAGCTGTAGAGATAATCTGCTACAGAACGGGCTACAAAGCAAAAACTCTTGCAGGCGGTCTGAGGGCTGTGATCTCCACACAGTACGCACGGGGATACACGTTAGACATCAGACGAGGAAAGAACAAAATACGCTCTAAAGAGACAGGAAAAATAGAAGTAACACACAAGCTTGGAGCATACTCTATCAGTCTCCCAGATGAGAAAATATTTAGCCAAATGAATGATGTGTTTAAAAATTCTCTGAAGCATATAGAAAGCATCGCGGGAGTGACGAAAGATGGAGAAGTTTCTCCAGTGTTCAGAGAAATCTTTATTCCAAGTGTGGAGAATGTAGATTTCTCTCTGAGCAGAGTTCCTCTCCAGGGCTACCAGGAGATATCGCACTACAACAAGCAGCTGGGCGGCAGTTATGCAGGAGCAGACGACAAAAAATGTCTTAATTCTCTAATCCAGATAGGATGCACCCCGTACTTCTGCCGGACAGGCGTACTGCATGTGCAGGTGGGCAGGGCAGAGAATGCAAAACTAGCCATTGGTGCATCGATTCTTCTGACGGGCATGAAGTTCATAAAAATAAGGAAGTAGAGGAGTCTCTTCTAATTCTCAACTAAATGCAATGCGTATATATCAGCTAGAGCAGTGAAAGTTTGAATAAAAGGCATATAAATAATTTAAATACCATTTCATCCACATCAAAGTCTTCAATGCGTACACAAAAATAAAAATGATGGGTTCGAAATAAAAACAAACATTTCAATATTTAACGACAATAAGTAAAGTAGTAAATTATATTTAATGGATCAATTACTTTCTCTCCTCCTCTGGCTCAATGAATCTATTTCCTCTTCTATTGTCGTCAGGAGCCACGTAGTTGTCGTCTAAGTCGCTTTCTCTGGGATGCATGGTGAATCTGGGCCCGATTTCATTGACTTCGTACCATGGGACCTGGTCTGATGCAAGAATGGCTTCTATGTTGGGGTCTACGATGTCTTCGTCTGGTTTGTGGTTCTGCTCTATTTCCTCCAGCTTTTCGTCTTCTTTCTGCTCCTGGTTCAGTCTCTGCTCTTTCAGGGCTCTTTCAGCAACTATTTTCTCTGTTTCCTTTGTTTTCTTCTGGATGTGGTAGAATCTAGCGATTATCTGGTTGTCCAGAATGAAAAAAGATGCTATTTTGTCTGTGTAGTCTGTTGTTCCCTGGGGCGCACTGTCGGATTTCTTCGTTGTATTGAACATTTTTGTAAGAATAGTTCTGGCTCTTCTGAGGCCTGTGCTGTTGTCGAAGTCGTGTGTGAATACAGTCATCATTTGCGTATTCGAGAGAGGGTTGCCTGTGAACTTCAGCTCGCTCATCGTGTAGACTCCTGTTAGAATGAACTTCATGACGTCGAATTTATCTTCGCCTGTTTCTGTGATATCTTTGGAAACTAGCCACATAATGGGGGCAGGGCTCTTTTTTCTTGTCTCTATGACGAGCACATTGTCTGCGTCTCTGAGATCTGCCATGTCGGATATTTCGCTCAGAGTAAATCTCTCTTTCAGCTTTGAGTCTCTCAGAATGTTCTCTGGGAGCAGAGAGGTTAGGTCGTTCAAAAGCAGTCTGCACGTGAGCGGGGACTTGAGAGAAAGAAGCATGAGTGTCTTTCTTGGGGCGCAGTTGATCTCTTTTATTTCTGTTTTCTTGAGAATCTGCTCGAGCTTGCTTTTTACAGCAGATGTGTCCTTGTCTGATGGAATAGTTTCATTCTGAGCTGTTTCTGTGTGGGGCTGGATGGCTTCCGTTCCGTGGTTCATTAAAAAATTTTAATTCACGGATTTATGTTATAAAAATTTAGCCAACAGAAGAATAGCCGATGCTAGTGGAGGTGTTGGATGGAATTGGAGGGTGTCTGATATACATAGAAAATGAGGAGTATTCGGAAGACAATTCAGTCATTGCCGCACTCTTAGCTAACGAGCATAAAATATACAGAGAGAGTGCATATACCATAATAAGGACACAGAACATATTCAGCACACCGGAAATCACATCGCTGGAGATGAAAATAAACAGCGAGCTGGAGGACAGGATGAAGTCAGTGCTGAAAAAGATTGCGTGTCTCTGCGGATGCACAGAGCAAGAAAGCAAAACCGTGTTGAGGCTGCCAGCAGAGGGCTGGGAAGAGCTCGTGGACATGTGGTCCTGCCACAATAGAGAGTTTGGGCACTTGGTGGAGCAGGAGATGAACCCAAAAAAAGACGGTGTGCTGTACTCCACGCTCCATCTGATCATGGAAGCAGAAAGAGCACCAAAGTGTCTTATCGCCAGAAATAACTGCGATAGCCTAGAATCAGCGCCAAAAACTTTGAAGATCTTCTACAATGAGATAAAAATGTGTCTATCCGATGAGTATTTGCTGTTTCACTATCTATACGATCTGTTCCAGATCAGACAGGAGATAGAAATAGCGGCAGAGAAGATGTACACCATACGGCTGCTCGATATAACATATACCTACCATGGAAAGATAGCACACAGCCCTCCCTTGGATCTTTCTCTGAAAATAGCATACACTAGCAGACCTATTGGAACTGAAAATGCAGAAAACCCGAGCAAACCAAAAGAAGAGAGTAAATGCAATATCAATGCATACTACACTGATAAGCTCATAGAAGTACTGCTGAAAAATAGCATAGGAATAGAAATGGGCGGAAGAAGTGTTTCTTTCATTCGGAAAGTGCGCACGGAATAGCTCTGGAGTATTTTTGCTATTTTATTCGCAAATATTTTAGAAAGATGGAGAAGTACACAGAGTTTAGCGACTCGGTCACAGGAATAAACCCGTACATACGAATTATAAAGTACCAGTTCACTATTTTCAACATGATTGTAAAACTGACTGTGTTTAAAATGCTTGTGTCCCTGCCTGTGTTCCTGTATAAATATGCCGCAGGATCGTTTGCTTCTGTGAAATACGAGAACAGAGAAACAGAAAAGAAAATAAAAAGCAGAAAAATCTTCCTATCAACGTACTCCTCAATATTTGACGTGTCTCTATTGCACAAAATACTAAAGTCGCCAAGCGTCTATCTTCTAAGGAATGGAAAGATCTTTGCAGTCAGCAGACACAACATGATAAAGCCAGCAGATAAGTCGGAGATAGACAAAAAAGTAGAAACGGGAAGAGTGGTGGTCTTTATGATGGCAGGAGGAATAACAAACGGCACAATATACACCAATCCATCAGAAGTTCTTGAGGCCGTAGATGTGCAGCAGGTTCTATCTTTGAAGTACTCACCAGACGCAACGTATGATATAAACCTCTTTGACATCTGCATACTCCCGCAGTTCAGCAGCCAAGTAGTTGCATTTCTCTACCATCTTTTCTACTATCTTACCATCCCCAGGGTGCCTGTGTGCACAGTCTCAGCAGCTGACACCCTTGAAGATCTCTCGGAGAAAACAAGGGTAGAAATATCTAGAAGCATTGACTCCAAAACAACCGAAAAGTTTTTGAAAAAGTTCAGCTTTGCAAAATAAAATAAAAATGATGATTTAGTTACTTATCTGTTATGTTCTCAGCCATTGCATCGTACGCGTCGCCAAAGAACCCTCGCAGGGACCCTGTTATCCCCAGGGCTATCTCTGAAAGCTCTGAAGACGTTATGTACCTTTTCATCTCATCATATGTTCTACTGGTGGCCTCGGTGAACTCGTTCTTGTACTTTTCTTCTTCCTCGAGGGTTTTGCTTGACTCTATAATCTGCCTTATGTCCAGGATTTTCAGTCTATTGTCGTCTATGTCCATGGATGCTTCCTTTGTTTCTTTTATTAAGTCGATGACCCGAAGCATGCCCTCTTTGAACTGCACTCTAGATGCTGACACTTTCTTGAGGGAGTAGGAAAGGCCTTCAAACTGCCGAGCCGCTTCGCCGGTGGTGCTGTTGGCAATGGCCAGCGCAGATCCAGAGAAGACCCCAAACACATCAGGCTCTTCCTTGGACACCTCTGTCTTTGTCTTGTTCTGTCTTTTTATCGTATCTTTTACTATCTCCAAGCCAGAGGAAAAAGTGTTTGTTAAATTCTCGTACAAAGTAGAAGCCGAGAACGCTTGGATAAGAGCTTGCAGCTCTATCTCCATCATTTTAATTGAGTCTCTTGTTCTTTTGTAGGTCTTTTCTGCTTCGGTGTACTCTTCTGTGTGTTTTGTCTTTTTGTACTCTTTTGTGAACTTGTCCTTCAATCTTGTTTTGAGCTTTGCATAATCCATTATTTTCTTTTCTTAAAAATCCTTTTATATTTACTCCTTAATAATAATAATAATTAACACGTGCCAGCCACTAGGAACAAAACAAGCCAAGGATGAAGAACCAATAGAGTATGCTAGGAGCAGTACAAGGTGCGCCACCATCAAGAATATCTGCAGTTCAGAAGATAGTGCCATTCTCTATACAACCCAGTGGATGTAGATGTTTATATTACCATGTATAGCGAATTAACTACTGTTTTTGCGACTTAGCTCAAGAAATAATGGAGGCATTCTCGGACTATTAATTGAAATTTTTCTATGAGCAGGAGGCATTTCGAATATTAATTAATTTACCCAAGTTAATTAATAAATTATTTCATTTAGTTAATTACTATTCTCCTACGCTAGCAATATTCCAAACAATTGTACATTCCATTTATTTACTAATCATCTAAAAAGGAAACTGTCTAAATTACTTACACTTTACACTCGTAAGACAGTTTATTCTTAGTGCTTCTCTATGATACTGTAACATATTGCAACGACAAGTATTTGGTTATATTTATTCTTTTATTCTACTAAAAATGTTTCGTAACTAGATTTTCCATTTCTGTGCGTTTATTATTTTGCAGGCTGTGCCTACTTTCTGTGGTTTATTCTTTCCTCTACCTTGTCCAGCTCCGAGTCATTTGACTTTTTTATTTCGCTCAGCAGGTTTTCCAGCTCTTTGAACTTTTTAGCCATTTCCTCTGTTCTTTTTTGCATCTCCTTGAAGCTTGTTGCTGTTTTGTTCGATGAAACTGTGTCTTCCATGTCCGACACCGATGCATCATCCACCGCGTGGGAAAAAGAGATGGGAATGTCTGTTATGCTTTGCTCTCTCTCTGACTCCTCGGTTTCATCGGGTATTACTTCAGGCTGCATCGGAGTGTTTCTGCGCACACTTGCGCTCTCTCCTGCAGGCAGATCTTTTACTCTAGCAGCGGGCTCTGCTGTCTTTGCTTTTTCTGTCTGTGCTTTTGTTGCTCTCACATGGCCTGCCCTGCTTTTGCTTGTGGCGTATGCCTGTGTGTCATACTCTTTCTTTTTGTTGTTGATTGCCAGGTACTCCAGTCTCTCTTTTTTCTGCATCTCTGATCTGGACAGTTTGTCCATCTGTTTTATCAGCCCTTCCATCTCTGTTGTGCAGTTATTCAGCGCCTTCTCTTTCAGCTCTGCTCTTTTCTTCAGTCTGTTGTACTGTATCTGCAGCACTTCATGCTCTCTTTTTATTCTTTTTCTGTCATAGACCGCTTCTTCTTCCTGTGCTTTTATTTTTTCTATTTCTTTGTCCTTGTGTTCTATTATGCTCTGAAGCACCTGTTTCTCTTCTTCATGAATGTCTGTCTCTTTATTGCTTACTTTCTTATCTCTCAGCAGCTCCTTAGCCAGCTTCTTCTGTGCGTCCAAAGCTGTCTCCAGCTCCAGTACTCTTTTTCTCTGCTGCGCGAACTCTTCTTTTTGTTTTTTTATTTCCTTGGTGGCTTCATTCAGCGCCTGGTTCAAATATTTTGCTTCCATTTTCGCTGTTCTGTACGACGTGTTCACCTGCTCCAGCTGGTTTTTTATCGACACTTCTGACACCTTTGTCAAATCTCCCTCTTTTCTCAGCTCTTTGTTCTGCTCTGCAATGTTTTCTATCATTTTGCACAGAACGGGCGATATTTTGCTTGATTTTACGATCTCACTGACCAACTCAATGGGAAACTGTTCTGTATTCTCAGGTTTTGCCGTCTTAAAGAACGCCTCCAGCTCGTCGTACTGCACTGTAAGCTGCTTTAGCAGGGAAATAGCGGTCTCCACTGTTTCAATGGGAAGGTCCTTTTGTTTTTCCGAGTGCTTTACCTTTTTGTTCATGAGCTTTCTGATGTCTTCTTCGACATCCGTGCTCTTCTCTTCCGAGTGAAACTCTGCTCCCTCCCGTGTTTCTTGCATTTTACAAAACGTGAAGCCACAATAAAAAATAATCAAAGATGAACATCAAAGTGTGGGGGACCATGAAAATAATTAAATTAATGCTGGCACTATCTATGTGCGCAGGAGCGTACTACATAACGTACCTTCCCACTCGCCTTGCGCGGTATCTAAAAGAGAACAAAAGAAATAAAGAGCTAAAAGACTACAGAAAAGCAGAAGAGTTTTACTCTTCTTTGAAAATCACGTCCAATCCATTTAAAAACTCCCGCCTTGTAAACAGCCCGGGGTTCGCGCGGCTGGTGGGGGGCGTGAAAGAGAGAATAGAGAGCGGAGACATCCAGGGCGTCCCAGACGCAGACCTGGACACAATGGACAGCATCATCGGAAAGTACGAAGCGCAGGTTTTGGCAAACAAGAAGGACTGCGGGATAGCTGATCTCTTTCCCTCGTTGAAGGAGGCGTATCTGAAGGAGTTCATGCACTGTGTGCAGATGCACATACGGGACAAGTACATGAGCGCAGCAAGAAAGATGAAAATGGAGTCTGTGCAGATAAAAAATGTCATGCGAACTTTGAAAAAACAAAAAATATCAAAAGAAAAGATCGAAAGATACGTCGAGAACCTGAAAGAAATAGAACAGCACTTGAAGATGCTGAACATTTCAAACATAAAAAAAGAGAAGTACATCCAGCACAAGATAGAAAGAATAGGAGAAATAGAAGGGAACGTTTCGTACCTAGAGATCTTTCAGACACTCCCAGCAATAAAAGCAAAAGAAAGCAAAGAGTTTAAAACAAGACTGTTCAGGCTGCACACCATCCAGTACCTTGAAGAGTTTGGCAGCTACTGGAGCATTTTATTCACCAACACAGTTGCATCTACGCTGGTAGAGCTGTTAATATAGCTTGTTTTTCATTACCACGAGCACCCAAAAGAAAGCAGCATCAACATCTATCTATGCAGCTGGTGCTCTGCACAGCAGCTAGTCTTACATAGACTCTATGCTGCTTTTATCCCTGATTTGAGTGGTCTTTGCGGTGCCAGGATAATGACTACTGTGCGACTATTAATAAAGAAAAAACTAAAAAACTTTCTGTCTCCGTATTTCAGTCTTTTACTGCCAGTTTTATTTTCAATGTATGTAAGTGATCAGAGGCAGTGTCTAACGCACCCGTGAATGGAGAGAAGTACTGATGTGTCTGTAAAAGTAAAGTAAAACTTTGCGTCCTTGGTATTCTGACTTTACAATTTATTTTCTTATTCTTTCCATGTACTTTAGTATTAAATACTTCATTCTCTCGAAGAGATAGCATGTTTCCTTTACTCCGTAGATCGGCTTCTGTTTTATCTCGTACGGCTCCAGTATCTTTTCAATGTGTTTATTCCAATTGTTCTTGTTGAAGCCAAGAGTGGACCCAAGAAAGACGGGCGGGTACACAAAGTCTTTGTTTATGTATTCGTGAATCAGCAGAAGCTTTTCCTGCTCCTCCAGGTTGGCAGACACACCGAGCTCTCCAAAGTGTCTGTTTAAAACGGCATTTCTTGCTTTTTTCAGCTTTTCGTGCGATTTTATGATGTCAACAAGCCACTCGACCATTGACTCGTCGTACGGCTCGTAGTGTATGTTGTCCATGTCTTTGCTCTCTTCCGTGTCCGTACTCACAGAGTGTTCGACATCTTCAGCTTCCATATTAAAATAAAAAATTTATCAGAAGACAGAATGAGTGTGACAAGCTACACCGGCCAAAGAACGTTCAGAGACATGCCAAAGAAGCAGATAAAAAAAACACAGGAAAAGATGAAGTCGCCAAAGGAGCTCTTTTCAAAATACTCAGTGGATGAAATAAAAGACTGGAAGTCGTTAGATCTCTACTACTTAATGGGGATAACGCAGGAAGAGACAAAGTCGTACACAGAAGCAGACTACAAGGACGCGTTCAAGAAACAGGCCAAGCTCTTCCACCCAGACAGGCTGCTGTCGTGCAAAATAGAAGATGGAGGAGCCTCCTTCATCGCCCTGACAAAAGCGCACGAAACCCTTGGAAACCCGCACAAGAAGCGCCTCTACGATTTCATTGCCTTTGATGAAAGCATCCCCATAGACAAAGAATATACAGCCGAAGAGTTCTTCAGTACGTTTGATGAAGTATTCGAGAGAAACCTTGCATTCAGCACAAAGCCGTGCTCGCTTTCTCTTGGTGATCTGAACAGCAAAGACGCTGAAATAGTTTCATTCTACAAATTTTGGCAGAGCTTTGAGTCAGTCCGCTCTTTCGAGTTTTTGTGCAACGATGAAGACTACCAGAGCAGAGAGATGCGAAGACATGCAGCAGTGCAGAACAAAAAGATGCTCGACGAGAAGAAATCAGACGACAACCAAAGAATAAGAAAACTGGTTGCCCTCGCCATAAAGCACGACCCCCGTGTGAACAAAGAGAGCAAATCGAAGCCAAAGGAGAATATAACGGTAGACGCAGACGGATGGAAGAGCACAGAAGTAGACGCCCTGACTAAAATAGCAGCAAAGACACCAGCGCGCACAAGAAACAGATTTGAAGTGGTATTCTCAGCGCTTTCCCGATTTGCTCCATCGCGCACAAAGAAAGATGTCCAAGCAAAACTTCTAAAGATAGATGCACTCCTGCAAAAGACACAGGCTAAGAAATAAACAAAATTAATTCCAGTTTCTATTCATCTCCAGGAGCCGGAGAGTCACTGTTACGCCAGAGAGTGCTAGCACATTTACAACTGCCAATTAATTGCCACAATCAGATAGAAAGATAATCATTTATTCAGTTGTGCTTAGTGTTCACTGCTTGCTCAGACTATTCTTCTACGGTTTTTGTGGCAGACCATTCGATCATTCCCTGCTTGTTCTCCTCGTAGAACCTGTTCAGTATCTCGGCAATGTCTGATCCCTTCTTTATTGCAGAGACCCAGGCGTCCTGTACGTTTTCTTTCTTTTTGAAAAACTGCATGACCTCTTCGATGTTTTCTCTCTTTCTTTGCGATGCAATGAACACCTCCACAAACCTTGCTACGTTATCGCGGGTTGTATCAAATATCTTAACGATATCTGCAAAGCTCTCTGCAAACATTCTAAAGGTTTTTCTCTGCTCCTTTTGCTGCGCCAGCCCAAGCACCATTCTCATTTTATCCTGGTTTTTGATGTACGGGTTTCTCTCTGCGAACAGCTTGAACACGGCATCTACCTCGTCCTGCGAGTGGGATATAGCTGATATGGCAAATAGCTTCTCGTTTTCATTTGCTGTTTTGCTTTTTATGATCTCGTAGAGGTAGTCGTACGCCTTCTTTCCTCCGTACTTAGCATAGGATGCGTACATGCTTGCCTTGTAGTCTTTGTGCACTTTGGAGAGCTCATTCGCCTCTGCTAGCCTGCATATTTCCTTCTGGATTGGGGAGTCCTTTATCTGTGCTAGCGCGCCTACTGCGATTATTCGCAGCTTTCTCACTTCGCCATCGTCAGGAACTGTTGTAAAGCTGTTTACACCATCGAGGTATTTCTGCAGGAGATTCGATAGCTCTGTGGACACTGCTAGATAAATTTCTTTGTCATCTATGTATCTCTTTGATAGCATTGTTAGGTACCCTGCCACCAATCCTACAACAAATGCTCTTTCATCGCTTTTCACATACTGCATCATGTTCAGGGCGTACGTTGCGCTCCTGTGGCCGTCTGTAGCCAGACTGATTATATCTCTGAATATCCCGTATCTCTCAAACTGCGATAATTTGTCAGACTGGAGAAGGGGGATAATGTGCCAGTTAAGGACATCATCAGAGTACTCAACCAAATAGAAGCCAGTTGCATCAACGTTGAACAGAATGTGGCCCTTGTCGAGGTTAAGGCGCATTTCCTTCCCTGGGAAGAGGATAGACTCCTCGTGCGCTCCTCCATCTGATGTGAATCTCTTTTTAGTCAAAAATATCATCCATTTTTCGTCTCTTTCTGACTCTGTCTCTGCGGCGTCTTTGGAGGGAAGGTACCGCGTCTGTGTAAGGACTAAAGAGCTATCCTCTATCTCCACAGAGATTTTTGGATACCCTGCAGTGTCGATCCAGTTGGTCATTGACTCTGTTATTTTTCCGTCTGCTGAGTCCAGCTCTTTCCACAGGTCTTTTGTCTCTGTGTTTCCGTACTTGTGTTTTTTGATGTACTTCTGCAGGCCTTCCTTGAACTTGTTCTCTCCCACGTACTTTGACAGCATTTGGATCATTGATGCCCCCTTCGAGTAGGAAATCGCATCAAATATTGAAGATATTTCACCAGAGGACTCAACCCGTACATTTATTGGATGCGTGGAGAGTTTACCGTCCATTTGCATCCCTCTGCTTATGTCGCTCTCCAAGAACTCCTCCCACGGGTTGTACATTAGGTTGATGTCCTTTGCCATGACAGCTGTAGCTAGAGTCCCTGCCCATGTTGCAAATCCTTCGTTCAGCCAGAGATCATTCCACCACTTCATCGTCACGAGGTTTCCAAACCACTGGTGGGCCAGCTCGTGGCACACTGTCTCTGCAATGTACAGCTTTTGCATCTCTGTTGTGCTTCCTTCTCTGTACAGGAGAGACGAGGATCTGTATGTGACAAGTCCCCAGTTCTCCATGGCGCCTGCTGAGAAGTTCGGGATGGCCACCATGTCAAGTTTGTCCATTTGGTACTCTATTCCAAAGTACTCGTCGAAGTACTTCAGGCACCTTACAGCTACGTCAAGCGAGAACTTTCCTGTTTCTTTCTGGCCCTTGGGGGTGTACACCTTTATTCTTTCCTCTTCTACAAAGTCAAGCTCGCCAATCACCCATGCCACAAGGTATGTGGACATAACAGGAGTGGGCTTGAAAGTGTGCGCAGTGTACAGAACATTATCGTCGTAGCTTGCGTTGTTCTTTATGTACTCAGAGTGTGCTGTGCTGTTTTTCAGCGAAGAGTTGGACAACACTGTGTACTTAGTAGGCGCTACGATGGAGATGTTGAAGGTTGCCTTGAACTCAGGCTCATCCCAGCAGGGGAAGGCAAGTCTTGCAGAAGTAGCTTCAAACTGTGTGGAGTAGATGTATCCTGCTGCATCCTCTCCCTCTGTGGCATCGCTCTTGTAGAACCCTGCCATGTCATCAGAGACATTTGCGTTGTAGAATATGTCAATAGCTATCTTTGTTTCAGCCCCCATTCTTTCTTTTGTGTTTATGGTTATAATGGAGTTTGGGTTGCTATTTCCATTCACTTTCTCAATCGTGTCTTCAGCCACAGGAATGTCTTCACTCTTTCCTTTTCCGTCTATCTTGGACACTTTTACTTCCGTAATGTTCAGATTCTTTGCGTGCAGGGATATTCTATCTGTGCTCTTCAAGACATCTGCAGTAATTACTACGTGCCCTGTAAACTCAGAGGTGCTCTCCTTGAGCAGTATTTCCAGGTTGTAGTCCCGTGGTTTTATGTCGCCTGGCAGTCTTAGACCCTGAGAGTTATTGGAAGGAACAGCTTCGTCCTTTGTATTCATACACATAACACAGAAAAAAAAATTACATATATATAGGGCTAATATCAACAACTCTCTGTTCCTAGATAAGTTCATGAAAAACAAACAAAGCGAATGCTAAATATTGTTTGTTGTTTGTTGTGGAGTCATAGAACTGCAAATTATTCGAAAGACTGTTGCACCGTGCATATCGCTTACCACGTTTAGATTTAATTAATTTACCAAATAATATTAATTTATTTCCAAATATGCACAAATATTTTCTATTTTGAGCATCCTTCGTTTCACTCTCTGTTGCAGAGTGTCTCCAGCAAACTAGTACAGATTTTGAGCAATAGGTAGTCACTACCATATTCAGAAATACAACCAGAGAATAAGTGCAAAATAAATGATGATTCTTTGTTTGTGCAGACTTTTGAATAAGCGGTAAAACAAAAGCAGTTTATTATTTATGCCCCAAAGACATCGTCAATTCTGATGATAGACTTAGCCGTCTGTGTGGCCAGGATGTACTGGTGCTTCTTCGAGTACGCACCTTCCCACACGCCCTCTGCTATTCCCTCCGCTATCTTAGTGATCGGATCTTCTCCCATGTTCCTGGCGAGTGCCATGGGAAGCTCCTGCAGCGCCTTTGAGTATCCGCGGCCAATTGACCCGGGCATTCCTTCTTCCACCGCAGCAGCACAGAGCATGTCAATGCACCCTGCTCCTTTGACTACTTTTGGGTCTCTTATTACATTTCTCACTGCGCACAGAACATCCCGTATGCTTCTCTTCGTTTCTTCGATGATTGCTGAGGTTCCTCCTCTGACTAGGATGGTCACTGCGCTTGTTTTGTTCTGGTTTCTTATTCTCACACTTCCAGCTTCCTCTACGACACATCCCGTGCCCAGAGACTCTTCTGAAAGATCTTCAAAGCGCGAAACAATCTGTGCGCCTGTGTGGATTGCAGCCATTTCCAGCTCCTGTGCGCCAACCCACCGCACTGCAGATATTCCCGCCTGCATGAGAAGAGAGTTTGCCTCGTCGTCAAATCCCCACTGGCACAGAACAACATTTGCGCCTGATTTTTTTATGGTGTCGATCATTTCAAAGAATATTCTTTTTTCGTACTCTGAAAGCTCTTTGAACTCCTCGACGGAGGACACATTCAGGTCGTGCTTTACCTTTACCTTGGGCGGCTCAAAGGGGCACGCAAGGATTGCTATCTGCGCATCAGGTATGCTTTTCTTCATTTGGAAGTGGCTGAACTCTTTTGCAATGTATACGCCTTTGATCAACTCACTCTCTCCTATTTTATTCTCTCCTTCTATCTTGATGAGCTCCAGGTTTGCCTCTCCTCTGCTGTCCCTCACAGACTGCACTGCTTCTATTGCTATCTGTATGTAAGTGTCAATGTCTCTGCTGACCACTTTGCTGCTGAGTGTGCTTTGTGCTACTTTTTCCATTGTGCTTTTTAAGTCTTCGTCTTTTGGAAGCTCTGAGTGTGCGTCTATCACGCCTAGGGCTATTCCCAGGGCCTCTTCAAACCCTCTGATTATTTTCAGAGGATGCATCCCTTTCACTGCGAGTTTCTTGGCTTCTTTTAGCAGAGATGCTGCTATTATCACCACACTTGTGGTTCCGTCTCCTATCTCGTCGTCCTGTGCTGTGCTCAGCTGTGTGATCAGCCTGCCCATGGGCGTTCCCTCAATGTCCATCTCTTTCAGAATGGTTGCTCCGTCGTTCGTTATGATGACCTCTCCATCTGAGCTGACAATCGCCTTATCTGCGCCAAACGGCCCAACTGACGTGCTCAGAGTGTCGACTATTCCGCAGAAGTTGTCTATGTTTTCGATAAGAATGTTCTTTTCTTCTGTTTTCTTTCTTGTCTCTTGCTCTCGTATTAAAACGTAAGGGCGCCCATACTCATCGCAGAAGTTGTATGACATAAAATTAAAAATATTTCCGAATAAAAATTTATTGAGTAGTTAAAACACTAAAGGTCTTCTTTGAACTCTGCGCCCTTCTCTGCCGCGCTTTCGTTGTTTTCGGTGCTTTCATCTTCCAACGTCTTCAGCTCTTCTTTATCTTCATCCGCCGCCTGGCCATTGGCTTCTTCATTCTCCTCTTCATTTGCATCGTAGTTGTAGTCATCGTGCAAGTTTACGTGCTCTCCTTTCTCCTTCATTCCATTAATAATATCCCTTAGGAACTTCTCAATCTCTTTCAGCTGTTCTTCTTCGTTCTCCTTCAGTGGAATTATGTCTTCTTCTCTTGCGTGTTCTTCCTCAACTTTTTCTGCCAAAGGCGCGTCTTTTCTCTTCTCTTTTTCCGTGTTTATTTTTTCCTTTATGCTGGCGTATGCCTTCTTGGCCTGCGGTATTACTTTTGTATATCCAAATGTGTTTATTTTTGAGGCAAAGTTCTTTGTGTGCTCTTTTATTTTGCTGCCAAGCGGTGCAATGTTCTTTGCCATCGTGTTTTTAACGCCTTGAATTCCGCCCATGCTGTTATACAGTCCGCACGTCTTCCTTTTCATTTCTTCCATGTAGCTGGCCAGTCGCTCTGTGGTGGTCATGCACGCAGCAAACGACACAAGCAGCGCTATAAAAAGGACTTTTCTCATTAGTTCACAGAAAAATTTAAAAATAATAAATACTTAATTATTCTACAGGAGGCAGATAACATCTGATGATGCAAAGAGACCAATTGCCAAGAGACACTCCGTACTAGCATCCACCTATACAGATGCATCTATTTGTCTTCAGAGCATCTATCTATCTTTTTAGACACTTGCTACAGAAGAGAGCTAATTGCGCTATTTCTGCGAGCATCCGAACTTAAGCTAAAACTATACAAATTATTTCGCTGTAGAAGAAAAGTTGACTGTACTTTTCTTTGTCTTCCATAGCTAATAATTGAAAAATAAAAGCAAAAATAAAATTCTGCTTATTGCATACACTTATATTTATTTTCTTTTTATTTCAAGTGCACTTTTTATAGTATAACTAAAAGTCTTAAAATCTTATATACATAAACAAAGAGCGCTCTATGCATTTGTTTTCTTGTGCTACTAAAATGGTTTATACTGTGTTAACAAATACTAAGAAGTCAAAATTTACCTGTGAAAAAAGACACTATAAAACTAAAAGTAGATAAAGATATTTATTGTTCTCTCTCATTCGTCGTGTTCTATAAAACTTATGCTTTACAGACACGATAACCGTAATGGTCTAGAGAGCACATATCAGATAATTGAATGCGCTAATCATTCTTTAGCTTTCCTGGTCTTGCTGCTTTAAAGTCTGACGAACTTGAGTTTTGCGCAGACTCGTTTGAATAGTGGTTATTAAGCGTTGCTGCTGTTGCTACTCCCAGAGCGACAGTGCCTGTGAATATTGCTGCAAATTTTCCATTTTCACTAATAAGTCTTTTAAATAAGGACTTAGGCTCTGCTTCTGCTTTCTCTTTCTTTTTTTCTAATTCTTTAGTTTCTTTCTCTTTTAGCCCTTTTAATTCTTCATTTCTTTTATGCAATTTTACTGTTTCTCCTGTTTTTATTTTCTGTGCATTTGCAAATGCTTTAATTTTTTTGAATATATATTTTATTTGCTCAGGATATAGATTATCTGAGAAATCCTCACTGTTTTGAAACATACATCCAAAAATATAGTTTCCTATATATTCCTTTTTACCATCACACTCTAGCAGGTATATCTCATTTTCAATAGTATTGATAGCACATTTTACTCTTTCCATCTCCTCTGTCTCTTCCTCTTTTAGCTGAGAATAAAGCGCTTTCTTGTCTTTCAACTCTTGTAGACATAACTCTTTTTCCTTCTCTAGCTTATTTTCTTTCTTTTCTGATAATTCTCTAAAATACATACGAGAATTTCTGAAGTTTTTATAAAAATCATATAAGTTGGTGCCTATGTTTAAAACCTTTTCTCCATCTTTTTCTTCTAGAAGTATATTATTGTTTATCATGTATTCGACCATATTAATTGCGTTGATTTGCACTGATTTTTCATATCGAACTACTTCTAGATTATTTCTGATAGAATATATTATTCCTAAGTCTTCTCGACTAAATAACTTATGAATTTGTAAAATCAAATCATTCTTTTTCTTATCATCAGAAGTGCGCTCCATCTCTTTGATTAGCTTGTTCAACTCTTCGATTTCTTTCTGTTTTTCATAAACAAGCCTTGTTCCATAGTCTATTAATAGAACATCCGTATTTTTATATGTTTTAGTGTATAGATCACTTAAACTGTAGTGTTTCTCTATTAATGAGACCTCAAAATCGTCCATGGATTTTAAATCAGCTAAAGCAGAAAAATAATAGAGATTATATATATCTACTCTTACTGCAGAGGCCTGTAGAAAACTTTCCATGCTAGAAAAGCCTGTGCTGTCAATCTCTAGTGTATATGTTCTGGTGCTCAGGTCCGCATTCTCGTCATCTGGATCTATATTTTCTAGAGGCTTATCCTTATCAAACTGCATATTTATTCCATGCTCTGGCCTGTATATGAGTGAATTGGGCTTTATGAGTTCATTCGATATTATAACAATCATGTTTTTTGACATTTTATCATTATTATTCTTTAATGCAAAACATAACCCGCGTATAGTTTCTAATCCATATTGAGTATCTATAAGATACTGGCATATGTCATTTATAATTATATCTAAAACAGCTTTGTTTTCCTCTTCGCTGTACTCACTTTCTATTTTTATATTATCACTGAGTATAACTTTCAGCTTTTTCAAAAATCTTAGTAAATTGTCAAAATCATACATATCTCCTATACCTTCAATATAGTTTTTATCAATAGATTTGCATGCATTCAATACCCCTTCCATGTCTATCTTTAGCTTAACTTCTCTCCTGGCCATCCTGAAAATTTTAATTGCAAAAAATAATTTAAAAGATCAAGGGCTTCCCAAGGCGGAAAAGCTTTAATTTTTTTATATACTTCATAATAAAGAGTGCTATTATTGCTCTTACACAATTAAATATTTTTTAGCTGTGGATACACCCTCTGAAATTGGCTTAAAGAGTCTCAACCAAAGAACTCAGATTTAAAGACTGAAATAAGAAATAGAATAGGAGATTGACTTCCTAGGATATGATGTTTTAACTTAAAGCCAATACATTCCTTGTCTCTCTGGATTCTATAAAGTATAGTATAGATTCTCTTCTCTCTGAATGGTAGCTGTAGAGATAACGAAGATAAAAAGCATAAAAGTGGCCCCTATATGCAGTAGATTGTCCTGCAGAAAGCTAGAGAGCTGCTTAGATTCACTTAGCAGTGAATGCATTGCAGAGACAATAATTAAAAAATTCTTCATTAAAATGCAACTTGAAAATATTAGCAGAGCAGCAGTAATTAATATAATAGCCACAGTGGTAGAAGATCCGTAAACTTAAGAATAATTTATTCCAAATGCCAGCTGACTAGAGTTAGATAGCTCAAGACATATTATATTCTTTAATGTTTCTCAGCTGGTGGCTATTGCTGCTCATGATATGATAATGCTTCATTATTGTTCAACACATTATGAACATCTGCAACAGTCATCGTGCTACTCTTCGAAGACTGATTGAAAGCTGTTATTGTTACTCCTGTTAGAACAAAAGCACTTGTCAATAGTCCAGCAATACCTTTTTTAATGGGTTTTATGTCTTTCAAGAAAGAACCCGTAGGGGCTTCTTCCACTTCCATTTCCTTTACTGGCTCTACTCCATCTATTACTACTTTGATGTCTAGTAATTTTGCAATTTCTTTTATCTTCGTTAGCAAATACTCATTTTGGACTGGGCTTAGTTCAGATAAGAAGCGAAGGTGATTTTGAAGTTCACTAGTACTTTCCCATTCTATGTTTTCTCTTTTTTCATCAAATTGCAATGACCTTAACTTCTTTTTAAAAGCATCAAAAGAAATATATGCTTTTTGTATCTCTTCTTTCTTTTCTCCTAATATTTTATTGTAGGTCTGAGGGTCAAGAGTGTTTTTATTTTTATTCTCCCATTCTTCTAAGTTCCCTACTCTCTCGTTGTTTTCATTGGTCTTTCTTCTGAAAAGAATTTTATTTTCTCTTATTTCGTCATAAAGTTTAATTGACTTTTCTTTTATTATTTCACTCAAACATGCATCACTGCTTAAGTAGTCTTGTTTAAAATTGCTTAAATCTGCTTTTATCCTCAGAATGTTTGGTCCCCCTTCTGTTTCTTTCAAGAGTGTAGTGTTATTTGCCATGTAATCCAATGCTCTAACCATGCGTTCGTATATATTTTTCTCGTATGTAATTTCCTTTATATTGTCAATAACGGAAATGATTATGTCCAAGTCTTCCTGAATAAATGCTTCCTTAATTTCTTTTTCTATACTCGTTCGTTCGCAAGAATCGGCTTCCATTCTTCTGATTCTCTCAATTAGCCTTTCAAAAGTATAGTTGTTATCGTAAATCAGCCCCAACCCGTAATCTAAAAATGTTACATTTTTTTCTTTCAAGTCATACAACCCCTCTAATGTGTAGTGTTTTTTTATAGACGAATATTTTTTTAAATCATCTCTTGGCTCTAGAAGAAATAATAGATAATTAGCATAAGTAAAATATTTTTTACGCAGATTCTCTTCACTAAGCTGAAGTGCATTTTGTAGCTTTGTATCATCAATCTCCAGAGTGTATGATGTTCCAGTGCTTAAGTATGGACTATCATCATCCGGGTATAGAGGCTCAAATGATTCATTCATGGCAATCTTTCTATAAATACCGTGCTCTGGTCTGTATATAAATGGATTTGGTTTCATAAACTTATTGATTAGTTCGATCGACTTAGATTCAATTAAGTTATCATCTTTACTCTTTAGTGCTTGGCCTACCACGTACATCTTTGATTCTTGATACTCATTATCTATAAGGAACTGAGACATATCATTTATAATTATGTCTAGGATGCGCTCCTTCTCTTCTTTGCTATGATCACTTTCTATTTCTAGACTATCACCGCCAAATATGTCCTTTAGTATAACCAAATAGCTTGGTTTTATACATTGTGTATTTAAAAAATCTGCATCATATCTACTATAGATAGATTTGCATTTCTCTACTATTCCTTCCACGTTTACCTTTAGCTTAACTTCTCTCCTGGTCATCCTGAAAATTTTAATTGCAAAAAATAATTTAAAAGATCAAGGGCTTCCCAAGACGGAAAAATTTTAATTTTTTTTAATATACGCTTCTAGCAAAGAAGAGACTAGTGGAAATGGTGTTCGATCAAGTATTCTTATAGTGTTAAATAACATGGCACAATTATATACTATACACTCTTTGAGACCAGAAATAGCAGAATGCTGAGAATAAGAGACAACAATAAATACTTATCATCCAAATTAAACTTATTTGAATACTATCTAGAATGCAACTGTCTATGTATATAAGAATAAGATACTGAGTTGATTAAAACTATTCTTACTTCTGTGTAAATTAAATGCTAGCAAAACTGACAATGGCAATAGAACTATTAATCTTCTTAATTTATGTTGCAGAAGTCTCTATGCAAATAATTTAATTTAGTGGTAGTAATTTAAAATAAAAATATAGAACAGAGTGTACTATTTTTGCTTCATAGTGTGTGCAAATTATACAATAAAAATTCTCCAATTTAAATATTTACTTTTGTTTGTAAGCTATATACTTTTTATTTTATTACTTTGTAGAGTCTTACTATTTTATTTGATGACTCGTGGACTAGCTGCAGATTAGAGAGTTTTATAGAGTCGCTATGTCCATAGAAACACAGCTTAAACAAAAGTGATTCTCTAAGTGGTGAAGAAATGCTGACTGGCACACCATCAAGAGTTTGTGTTCTTATGTCCATGTCTATTACGTCTTGGAAATTGTGAAAAGTTTTCTTCTCTGTCTTGTAGTAGAAGCTTTCTGGATCAATCTCTTTGTTTTTCTCCTTAGCTATCTTTGCTATCCACTGCATCTTATGCAAGTCAGATAAATTATACTTTGAAGTGTATCCACATACGGTGTATATGTAGATATCTCTCTTTTCATCGGGAACTATTCTCTTCAAAAACGGATTGTCTCTGGACACATTCTCTTCTGGAGAAACAAACAGATTGGCTACTTCTGATATTCGTTCATAATTATTTGTGTTGTTGTCTATTACCGTAGATAGCCCTGTCATTCCTGTTATTTGGTATCCATAGTCCCACCAGCTGACAATGACTGAGTTTTTTTCTAGATTGTGCTTCATATACACAGCACTCTCTCTAAAATCGTCAACTATTATTTTGCTGTTATTACTTATCCCCTGCACTGCTATTATAACCTGTGTTGATTTATTGTAGACAGTGCACAGTGAAAAATAGACATGCACTGCCATCGATACTGCAGCTGCTACCTTTGCAGCTGTCTTTACGAAATATTTCATACCTTCTTTTTTCAAGCTTTTGCTTCCATTCGATGCATTCAGTGCGTAGAGAGTGTTACAGAACAAATCAGACGCAAATATCGATAAAAATGGAGCTAGAAGGAAGGCAAACCTTTCCATGCGCATGAATAAAAAGGACGAAAACACAAGGCTTTCGAGAATAAAAAGATCTATACTTCTATTTTTAGAATCCTTCCGTATCTTTTCCATCCCATAGACTATTAAAACAGGAATGGCACAAACCATGGGACCACACAGAGCAATTGCCTGAGAGAGTGCAGGCGGCCTGTGCTCAGTAATGGATGCAACAATCGGATGTGCTGCTTTCTTTATAAACAAGTTGTAGAGTTTGCTCTTCTTCGCAAGATGTTTCAAAACTTCATTCATTCTCCCGTTCTTCTCTATCCCATAGATTCCACCGAGAGATAAAATAACACCCGTACACAAAATAAATAAGTACCGAATTTTCCCTGTTTTGTCAGCTGTAAATATTCTATACATTACCTCCATTGAGAAGCAGTGCGCTATCTTCAAGAGATTCATGGCTCTGCCTGCCTTCAGAAAAGGAAGGATACTCTCTACACACATATTCACTAAAGTGTTCACAAAAAGCATTCTCCAGCTGCTGAAAGTAAAGAATGAGTGTCCATACAGCAGAACATCAGTAAAAATGCTCCCGCCCCAGGACGCCCTGAATATACTCTGCAGCAGAAGAATAGCTGCAAATATTTTATATTTTTTCCATCCTCCTCCTTTTTCTCCTTCGCTCTTTTCCTTTATGTATAGAATATACGTGTAGATAATCGACAAAGAAAGAAGCAGAGAGAGACTCTCGTAGTCATATGCCCCTGCAATGGTCTTTTCAAAGAGGCCTCCAGACAGACTAAACAGAGCAACTGCCACTGATCTCTTCACAGCACTGTGCGATGTAAATGTAGCTGCACATATTTTCCAAAATATGAACAAACATCCTAGGTATAGGAGAATGGGTGTAGTGCAGCAGACTGTGTAGTGGCTTATTCTGATGAACCTGTGCAAAAAAAAGTGAAATAAGTTGGAAACAACGAAGAGTACAGGATATGTTGTAGCAGCAATGTCTCTCCCCTCTGGTATCCATGTGCTCCTATCAAACCAATTAAAATACTTCATTATTCCATTGCGCCACATGTACTCTGAGCATCTGTAGTTGAACCACGGGTCGAACTCATTGATAAGCACGCCGTACCGCACAATAGGGCGCAGTCTAAGCGCAAGAGTATACGCCACAATGGATGCACAGACTGAAACCATCCCGTGCTCGTAGCGAGACAGATGCACTGAATTCTGCTTGTACTTCATTGACACTAGCAAGCCGACTAAAACTTTTATTGCTGCTTCATTGATTTGCTAATTAATTTTAGAATTTATAGAACATTGGCAAATAAATGTTACTGCTCGCACAAATTGCTCTGGTGAGCTAATACTGCAGCAGGAGAATACAAAAGACAGGTGAATATAGTCAATATCCTCTCTGCAAACAGCATATCTCTTAATTGCAGAAAAGTAGAGCTTTTCCAAGAAGTTAAAATTGAATGAAGATTGTCTGCACAATCAATGAACCATAAAGACAAAGTATGTTAAACTTTCTAAATATTTTTATTTTTACTTTCCGCATCCCGAATAACCGCATCAGCACAAATACCGCATACCCAATCCGCGCAAAGCAATACAAACACAAACTTCCAGATAATATTTATTAATCAGTGGGTTCTTCAGTTAACTTCCTCAACTGTTGGCTCGGCAGCAGACGGGCCGGATGATGGGCCTGCGCCAGAGAGCTTGGAGAGGTATGGGGCAAATGTTGCCTCAAGAGCCTTCTTCTTCTCGGTGTACTCCTCTGCGGTTCTGTTGAGAGGAGAGGGCACGGCCTTGAGCCATGCTTCTCCCTCGGAGACCTTAGCGAGTGCTTCACTCTGCACGCTTGCATCGAGCTTCTTGAACATCTCCCTCAGGCTGTAGAGGTACGTGTCAATGTCGGTGTATGCTGTGATGATGACTTTGTTCTTCTCGTCCTGCTCCTGGTACTTGATCGCCTCCTCCTGCATTCTCTTGATCTCGTCCTGGTTGCTCACAGTCTTGTCCTTGGTGATGGTTATCTCCTGCTCGCTTCCCGAGGATGACTCTGTGGCGGAGACAGAGAGAATACCGTTGGAGTCTATGCTGCACTTCACCACTATCTCTGGCTTTCCTCTGGGCGCGGGCGGGATGCCTGCGAGGTGGAACTCTCCGAGTTTGTGGTTGTCTGCGACCATGGCTCTCTCTCCCTCGTATATCACGATGGATACAGCGGTCTGGTTGTCTGCGTAGGTGCTGAATGTCTGCGTCTTTGTCGTGGGGATTGTTGTGTTCTTTGGAACAATGGGGGTGAATACTCCTCCAGCTGTCTCAATGCCCACAGAGAGAGGGATGACATCGAGGAGAAGGAGCTCGTTGTTTCCTTCAACTGCGTCTCCGTTAAGGACTGCGGCCTGGATGGCTGCTCCCTGGGCCACTGCCTCGTCTGGGTGCACGCTCTTGTTCAGGGCCTTTCCTCCGAAGTAGTCGGAGAGCATCTTCTGCACCTTTGGGATTCTTGTGGATCCACCGACAAGGATGATCTCGTCGATTTCGCTCTTCTGGAACTTGGAGTCTGCGAGGGTTCTCTCCACGCAGGGCATCAGCTTGTCAAAGTACTGCTTGCAGATCATCTCGAACATTGCTCTGGTGATGGTGAAGCAGAGGTCTTCTCCCTTGTAGAAGGAGTCAATGATCATCTGGGTGGAGGAGGTGGATGAAAGAGATCTCTTTACGTTCTCAACCTGGGCCTTCAGCCTGCTCATTGGTCTGCCCTGAAGAGCAGAGTACTCGATCTTCTTTTCCTTGGCAAATGCTCTTGCGTAGTGTTCTGCTACAGTGTGGTCTAAGTCTGATCCTCCGAGGTGAGTGTCTCCACCGGTGGCCTTGACCTCAAAGAAGCCTTTCTCCACGGTGAGGATGGACACATCGAAAGTACCACCTCCAAAGTCGAAGACAAGAACTTTCTTCTCGCGGTCTCCTGTGGCCTGGTCCATTCCGTATGCCACTGCTGCTGCAGTTGGCTCGTTGATGATTCTGAGCACTTCTAGGCCAGCCATTGTTCCTGCCTCCTTTGTGAGCTCTCTCTGGTTGTTCTTGAAGTATGCGGGGACGGTAACTACGGCCTTGCTGACAGGGGCTCCAAGGTACTCCTCTGCACAGTCTTTCATGTACTTGAGGAGCATGGAACTAATCTGCTCTGGGTAGTATTTAACCTGCTCTCCGCCCTTTGTGACTTCTATCATTGGCTTGTCGCCTGGGCCTCGGACAACGGTGAAGGGCCAGTGCTTGATGTCCTTCTGCACGTTTTCGTCGTCAAAGCTGAGACCGATGAGTCTCTTTGCGTCGTACACGGTGTTTGCGGGGTCGTTTCTTGCGTTGTTTCCTGCAGTTTCTCCGAACAGAAGCTCGTTCTCTGCGAAGGCAACGATGGAGGGGGTGGTTCTTCCTCCAGACTTGTTGATGATTATTTCAGGCTTTCCGTTCTGCATAACAGCCATGCATGAGTTGGTTGTTCCTAGATCAATTCCTATTGCGTATTCTTTTTTCGCCATGGTATAAAAAAAAGTTTGCTAATTTATATTTTTTTACGTCTGGAAATTTCTGTTTTTTTCTCTGTTATTATTTGTGTAATAAAGTAAATACTAGATGGTTTTATTGGTGCTTTAATTTGCTTAGAGGAGAGCAGAGTATTTGGAGTGCAGGGTTGCCTATATCGCAGTAGTAGAAGTAGTGCAATGGAAAGTCTGCAGTATATTTGAGTTGGGCAATGAAGGCTTATTGTTTTTCTGGCTACAATGACAGTTTAGAATCTCTGTAACTGTTAATCTTCGCATAGTAATAATGACTGAGCCACTTACACGCATTTCTTACCATTTAGTGCTAATTTGCATGGTTAGATCTGAGTGCCTATGGTATATTGGTAGATGTATTCTATCTGCTTGAGTTTTACAGCTTCATTATTACCATTGAGGAGTTCTATTGCTGTGGGGAGAACAAGAGTTTGTTTTTCTGTTTTTAAGGAATAGAATAAAATTGTATGTGTGCTGGCAGAAGAAGCCATTGCAAAAAAAGAAGAAGAAAAAAGAAAAGAAGAGGAAGAGCGGGAAATGGCAGATAAGAGAAATAACCCCTTCTTATATCCATTAAGGACCCAAAGATAAACAAGCTGTTAAACCCAAATAAGAACACATCTAGTAATAATAACCACACTGTCTCAGATAAACAGGAGGAGAGCACAGACAAAGAGCCCTCAGTGACGAAAAAGCAAAAAGACACAGTCCCAGCTAAGAAAGATAAATACCTTTTTTTAAACAAAGTCATGGCGATAGGAACTATGGTAGCTCTCGTCGTAGTTCTATTAGGTGTTTTCTACTACGCCAACTTCCTGCGAAAATAAGCTGTTCATTGCATAGTATCCAATGAAAGAGAAGAATTTAAAAATAAATAGCAAAACTTTCAATGTTCTACTTTTCTAAACACTTACACGTACAGTTGTTAATTTAGTTTGAAAAAGAAATATTCAGCAGCCAAGTTAATTCTGGTAGCATAACCCGAGAATAAAAGAGAAATAACTAGAGATTGGGTAAGATGGGCAGTAAGATAGAAGTAGGAGTTGCCTATAAAGATACAGGGATAGAGCAGATGGCTATAAAGGATAAGTGTACTTCTACTTCTTTGGAAAAATAAACAATGCGGACTTGTAAATTTGCAATGCAGAATTTAAATGAAGAATTGAAAAATTTGTAAATAAACATGGTTAAATCCACAATGCCTGACCATAAAAGCAAAGACGAAGCAGACCAGAAGAAAAGAGAGGAGAAGAGAAAGCAGGAGGAAAAAGAAAAAAAAGAGTACGAACAGTACCTCCAAAGAGTGAGAGACATGATCCAGGAGGACAGAAAAACAAACAAGGAGAAAGCACAAGTTGAAATAGATGGGATGCTAGCTCTCCAGACCGCCTCGCTAAAAGAGTCACTGCTTAAGCCTCTGACTGGCTCACGGGAAAGACTGACAGATGATCAAAACCCAAGCGAGATCACAATAAAAATAATCCACGAAACAAGAAAACAGCTGCACACCCTCCCGGAGACTGCAACTGTAAGCGACTTTAAAAACATTCTTAAAACACACTTTAATATAAAGAACCCAAAGGCCTTTATCTCCACTATAGCAGAAATAGACTTCAAAAACCTCGGCGTATCATTGAAATCGATAGGAGTCTCAAACATGGACACCATCTATGTCCACAGTTTATAAAATAATAAATAAATTCACTTTGCATTTCAACAGATATCACAGCATACAGTAAAAAGAGCAGAAGCAGAAACCAGTGGGCACACCATTCGTATACTTTACCACTGTTCTACCATCACTACTTCCCGCACTTTTTCACAGGCACTTCTATACAATAGAAAGCCTTCAAATGAGTTCAGCCTGGGTAAGGATACTCCTGGGCATTTTAAAGTTCATGCAAAAAGTACTGAAGATCTCTTAAAAATAAATAGTCATGCATTAGACTGAGTGAATGCACCAATCATCCACTAATTTTGTTTTATCTTTTTATTTCACAGTAAATGCAAGTGCGCCATTTGGTGGAGAATTGCAGAGAGCACGGCGTAAAAATAAAATGTTTTTTAAAATGGCATGGAGCAAAGTTGCATACAGAAGTGTGTAGGATTTCTAGAGGCAGAGAGTGCCAGCAGAAAGAGAAAGTACATTGATGAAATCAAGAAGGCCATAGAAGAGAACAGAAGGTCCATACCGATAGAGTATGCAGACATCTTTGCGCACGACCAAGACCTAGCAATCGAAGCCAAGCGGAGCTTCCCGCAGATTGAAAAGTGCATCTCCCAGGCGATAGAAATAGTCACAGCGAAGTACTGCCCAGAGTTCAAAAAGAAGGGAATATTCACAAGAAAGGAAGAGTTTATCCCGTGCATATACGGCCTAGATGTGATATACTCTGTGCGCGATCTAAAAACGAGTCTTCTCAACCAGCTTATTTCCTTTTCAGGCATAGTCACAAGATCGTCCCAAGCAAAGCCAGAACTCCTTGAGGGAACCTTCGAGTGCACAGAGTGCAAGGCCATGATACGAGGAATAGTCCAGGAGAGAGTGTACAAGCAGCCCATTGCCTGCATAAACCCCATCTGCATGAACAGGAACAAGTTTAAGCTGGCAGTTGATGAGTGCAGATTCAGCGACTACCAGAAGATAAGAGTGCAAGAGCCCGTGGGAGAGACAGGAGATGCGCATGCCATCCCAAGAACAATAGAAGTGCTGCTGCGCAATGATCTTGTAGAAATAGCAAAGCCTGGAGACAGCGTTATCATCACAGGATATCTAATGGCTGTGCCATGCAGCAGAGATGTGCTAGGGCACAGCAATACGACAAAAGTGGGTCTTTCAAAAGTGCCAGAAGATGATGCAGTCAGAGGAAGAAGCGCACAGGGAAGAAGTGTAAATCACGAGCTGATTTTTACAGGCATATCAGTCTCAAGAAAACAGTACGATCCGTACACAACTCTACTGGAGAGCACGCAGAGCACAAATCACACGACAGCTCTTGAAAAAATAAAAGTGGAAACAATGGGCAAAGTCCCAAACCTTCTCTCCAAGCTGGCAAACAGCTTATTCCCCTCCATATGCGGGCACGAGAACATAAAAACAGCGATACTTTTGATGCTTGTTGGGGGCACCTCCAAAAAGACAGAAGAAGGAATTCCTCTGCGAGGAGATATAAACATCCTCCTAGTGGGAGATCCCGGGACATCAAAGTCGCAGTTCCTAAAGCAGACAAGCACGCTTGTTGACAGGGGAGTGTACACATCAGGAAAAGGATCGAGTGCTGCAGGTCTCACCGCCAGTGTAATACGCGATGACACGGGAGAGTTTAGCATAGAGGCAGGCGCGCTTATGCTGAGCGACAGTGGAGTGTGCTGCATTGACGAGTTTGACAAGATGGATGAAAGAGACAGAGTGGCCATTCACGAGGCAATGGAGCAGCAGAGCATCAGCATATCCAAGGGGGGTATACATGCTACACTCAGCGCAAGGACAAGCATTCTTGCAGCAGCCAATCCTGTGAAGGGAAGGTACGACTTGCGCAAGACACTGCGGCAGAATGTGCGCTTAAGTCCTCCGATTATGTCGAGATTTGATCTTTTTTTTATTCTGGTGGACACGATAAGCATAGAGCACGATCAGATCATATCCAGCCATATTTTGAAGGGGCACATGGCGCACGGGAGCGGAACAGAGGCACAGGAGGCTGCGTTCACAGTGGAGGATGTTAAGCTCTTTATTCGCGTTGTGAAAAACAGAGCACCCGTGATATCACAGGAGGCAAGGGATAAAATGGTTGAAAAGTATTTGGAGATACGGAAGAACAATTCTGTGCACGCATTCACAGCCACTCCCAGGCAGCTGGAGAGCATAATACGGCTGAGCGAAGCAGTGGCTAAGGTGTTTGGCATGGAAGAGGTAAATGTGTCGTGTGTTGAGCACGCGTACATGCTTCTCTCAGGGTCTATTATGAATGTTCTAACAGATGACGTAAAACTATCTGTTTCTGATGTGGTGGGTGATAAGGTAGTGAGCATTACGTACGATGAGTACATAAAAATGACATCATCGCTTGTGAAGATAGTTCAGATGCACGCAGGGAATAGCGGCATCATCAAAAGCGAGCTTGTTAATGAGTACATTCGAGAAAACGAAGAGGAAATAACAACAGAAGAAGAGTACGTGGAGATGCAGGACAAAGTCTCTGGGCTGATAGACCAGCTGATATACAAGGAGGGAATATTCTACGAACAGGGAGAAGACCTGCACATTCTCCTGCACCCCAACTACAACCTGTTCTGATAGTTTAGCACTAATTTTCTCTATGAAAAAGAAGAATTGAGTGTTTGCGGTTCAATACTGCAGTGTTTTCGTACGAGAGGCGGTTATTAATTATTTATATGGAGGGTGTTAGCGTAAAAGTGTCCTCAGATAAAAGCATTCATCATGGACTCAGTGAGATTCCCGCTTGGTGTATCATCATAAGACAGCAGGGGCTAATAAAAAATAAATAATTAATGGAAAATAAATTCAGTTACACTGGCTAGCAGCCTGATAAATGTTTAGCGCATATGAAACTGTTAGTAGATCTACAGAGATGGAAGATAGATAAGATTAAGCAATATGCTGAGTAGCTTGTACTTCCTTATCCTTTTATGGCAGTTGCATGAAGCTCTAGAGTTCTTGCAGAATATTCAACGAGCACTGAAATAAAAACAGGACGAGTGTGAATGTTAGAAATAAAAAGAAAACTAAAAAATGAATAAGATGGCTATACTGCTAATGGATTGGTAGTAATAGCAAATGGTGGTAGAGATAGGAAAAAGCAAGAATGGTGAATAACTTAATATTTTTATTTCTTTAGATAAGACTGTGTTTATTATCTTTTCTGTTTCTTTTTCCTGGGTAGTTCTTCCTCCTCCTCTTCTTCATCTGAAACTATGAAACTGTCTTCTCCTGTGTCACTCGCAGCGTACGATCCTGATTCCTCTTCGTTCTCTGACTCAGACTCCGACTCTGTCAGGTCCTCATCCGTTACAAAGTCTTCATCTTCTGAGTCAGACTCTTCTGTTGTGTTCAGATCGACTGCATCATTGTCCTCGGGCTCTTCCTCGTCATCTCCTGTCTCCCTGCTGGGCTGCAGGATGGCCCATGCTCCTCCTTCATAGAACGCGATGGGATCGTCTAAAATGCTCCTCAGGACATTGCTCCACTGAATGTTCACTTTTGTTTCAGTAAAGCAAATATTTTTCGAGTCAAAGAAGTCCATCAGCCAGGGCACAGAGGCTGCCGATATTCCGTGGACGTGCACAGGGTTTCTGGACTTATCTTTCAGCACAAAGACCAAATCAGAAGTGGTAACTCCTGATATCCTTCTTTCAAAGTTGAGTATTTCAATGTCCTTAAATGGCAGGACAAAGAAGGGAAATTCCGTTAGGTTGATGAGGCACTCGGCCGTGGGCTGGATGAACACGCTCTGTCTGTGCGGAACTCCAAAGAACCCTTTTGAGATCGGCTCTTCCAAAATAATCCTTGACTCTCTGGCTACATGTCTTGCAAACTTCTGGAAGGCTTCGTTTATCTCTTCTCGCATTCTTTCTTCCTCCTCCTCTTCGTACATTTCGGCGTCTTCTCCTCCCATTCTGTTTCTTGTTTTTCGTGTGTCGTGCACTGCATTGGCCACGCAGTCTCTGAAAAACTGCACATCAACAGTTTTTTTCTCTGCAATGATAATGGGGGCAGACAGCTTAAAATGGAGGATCGATGGAGACTCTGCTGCGCCAGGCTGCAAAAACATGTGCTTTATCTTTGAGAACAAAATGTCTACATTCTTTGCCTGTTTTGAGTGGTATCGCAGCCCGTTCTTGTGCAGCTCCACTGTGCTGGCCACATTCTTCTTGGTTCCCATTCTGTGGTCGCATCGCATGAACACGTTCTGCAGTGTTTCCACTTTGTCTACTATCTCCTGCAGGTCTTCCTGCTCTCCTTCTTCGATGTCTTCTTCAGACTCGTCTTCTTCTTCTTTTTTCATGTTGTTGATCTCTTTCCAGGTGGTTAGTACGTTCTCCTGTGTGTCTTTTATGAGAAGAGAAAGAAGGTTGTTTACGCTCGCACTGTCCGCTGTGTTTGGGCTGTAGAAAGATATTTTCAGGTACCCAATTCCATCTTCAATGGTTTTTGTGGCAGTTTTTATCATGTCGATGTGGAAGGGGACAGCTGCTCCGAACACAGGGATAACCACACTCGATGCTCTTTTATCTATTTTGATAACAGAGCTTCCTCTTGGTATCTGTGTCTCTTTCTCGTACGACACGCTCTTTTCCACCGTTTCCACGGGCATCTGTTCTTCCTCCTGGACATCCTGGCTTTTGTAGAACTGCAGCTGTTCTTCAATCAGCTCGTCCATTAGCTGTTTCTGGTGCTCGTTTATTTCATTTGCTCTCTCCAGCTCTTTATCTCTGTTTCTGAGCCTTCTTCCGAGGAGCGTGCGTTTTGTGTTTTCCACGGCTTTTTCGAAAATGTAGTCAGATGGCTCGATGCTGAAGGGCGTGAGCACTTTCTGTGTGTTGTTTTCCACAAGCACCACATTGTCCATGTGAATGGTGCCCAGTCTGTCCTCGTCATCGATCATGTGCCTCAGATCGTAGAATCCAACAGAAACAACAAATACAGAGTTATTCTTAACAAGCTCATTCTCCAGCTCTTCAGCCGATGGGCCCTCTTCTGGGCGTATTCCTATCCCTGCTCCAAGCTTTATTCTCATTTTAGAGCGCAGCTCGTCCTTGTAGTACGGATCAACCACATCGTTGAATCTTTTCATTGTCTCCTCTTTTATCTGTGCGTGTGTTTTTGAAACTGATATATTTTTTATCAGGTACTTCATAAATCTCAGAACATACCCCAGCACGTCTTTGCTCTTTTTGTTCGGGGCCACCAGAAGAGTTCTTCCCACATGGGAGCAATGCCCTTTGTATGCGACCCAGAGGTAGTAGCTGATGATGTCGAAGTAAAGCAGCTGGTCGTTGTAAACATTTACATATTCTCCATTTTCAGGTTTTTCCAGTAAGTATCTCCCTCCGCTTTGTATGATCGGTTTGAAACAGAGCTCAATGTACGACTGATCGAGCTCATCAGGGAGCCTCTTCATTTCCACCTCCAGTGCGGACTCAATCTGATCGCTCAGCTCTTCGTGTATCACTCTGTCGTCTGTTTTGAGGATGTGTTTTATCTTTCCCTCCAGCAGAGATACGACCTGCATTGCGGAGAGACTGGCCAGACGCATCAGCTCCTGCTGTTTTCTGTCTTTTTTCACAAGCATTTTCTCTATCTCTTTTTCCATGTTTTTTGTTTTTAGAGAGCTCTCCCAGTCTTTAACAGCCTGTCCTCTTTCTTCGCTCAGCACGCCCACAGGCTTGTCTCCGCATATCTGCGCTACTTCTGCTGCAATAGCGGCCTGATTTGATTTGTCCTTCAGTCTGCTGAATGTTCGTATGCACACAGTCTCCTTTAGCTGCTCAAGTATCACGCACTTTTTTGCGCTTGAAATTGCAAGCACTTCTGTCCTTCTGATGATAAGGGCGGTCTCTGGGAACTCGTACCCTAGCAAATAGAAAAACATAGCTGAATTAATTCCGTACGAAAATGTAGTATTTCTTTCGCCAAATGTGATCATCAGGCCGTCTACCTCCTCGGGGAGTATTTTAATTATGTTCTCCATTCTTTCTTTGAATGTTCTGCAGTCAAGTTGAACTTTCGCCATGAATAAATAAAAAGTATTTACTAAAATACTTTGAAAAGACAAGACGCTTTGGGAGTAGCCCTGCACACACCCAAGAGAGCTGCAGAACTGCAGAAGGTCTTTTGTAGGTACGCGCTCCATCATCAGTACACCAGAATAAAGAGATCTATCTATAAATAAACAAAAACAAAAGAATCACCAGCCATTGGTACAAATTGAAATTAGCACAAAGAACAGCAAATTTATTTACACACGCACTAGTTTATTCGTTGCCTTTATAGAGCATGGAATAGCATGCATTTGCAGAGCGCATTCTGCACTACTTTATCTGCTTGGTTTAGCCATTCAAATCACGGAATGCAGATAGATATAGATATAATGAAATATTTGCTTGGAGAATTTTAGCTGTCTTCTTTATTAGCACTTCCTGCACTTAGCACACATAGACTAAACTAAACGGAACATACCTCTATTTAATACACACGAGATACGCCAGTGTAGTCTGTCTCATTCCTCTCTGTCTGCTCTTAGAGTGTTAAATACGTCTTCCTCTACCATCTTTCTCAGCGGCTTCCACTCTTTGAGGATGCCTTTGTACTCTGCGAGGAGCTTGCTGACTAAATACACGTCGATGTCGTTTCTTGGGTATCCTTCTTCGTCGACGAGAGGCTCTCCCAAGGTGTACGCGTGCTCATTCTGCAGTTTCTCTATTATTTTGTTCATTTTTTCCTGCAATTCTTTTGCCCTTATCATCCTTGTGTTTCTTAAATCCATATCCATGTAAATTTATTTTTTAATGATTGAAAGCATTGCACTCAGAAAGTTTGCAGTTTCGTATTTCTTGGTGCACCCCACCAAGCCGCTCTGCAATTTGGTGGACAGAATAACCACCACGATTAAAAATAGGTTCTTCAAGGGGGAGATAGTTTTCCTGAAGAACAAAGAGCTCACAGGCCGCATAGTCGAGACAACAAAGACGGGATACATCGTGGAAATATACGACGACAACCAGACGAGCCCGCAAAAGGAGGAGGTGAAGGCTGAAGATCTGCTCAGAAAAGACAGCGCAACAAAGAATGAAGTGCTAGGGTTTATCCTCAGTGTGACAAGAGATACGCCTCTTGGAAGAATAGTGGCGAACAACATAATACAGGAGCTCGGGATATTCAAAGGACAGAAACCGCTGAAGCCCGTAGAGCCGCACAGCAGCAGCTACAAGACAGAAGATGCATTTGTCATCTCAGATAAAAAGCCGTACTGGCAGTCCGATGCGCAGCTGGAAGAAAAAGAAAAAGAGATGGAGGAGGTGGAAGAGAGAAGAGTGCAGGGGAAGATAAGCGAAATAATAAAAGTGCCATCGGAGGCATGGTCATCGCCCATTGAGGACCACGAAGTGAACACGAAGATTCTTTCCACCTTCGCAGAAATATCGGTGTTCAGCGACTTTCTGAAAATGAAAGAGTTTTCGCTCTCTGAGTTTGTCGACGCGCTTTTCTCCCCGGAGAAAAACGGGCACATTTTAGTGGAAATATTTTCAAAGCTGCTGAAGTCCATCTCGCACGAAAGAAGAAAGTCGGGAAAAGAAGGACTGAAGGACATGGTGCAGGTTGCATCGGATATAACGTACGAAAGCGAAGGCATGCAGAAGATGGTGGAAATGGTGGAGATGCAGGAGCAGAAGGAGAACACGGGCTTCAACAGAATCCAGTGGTTTGCAGGGGACGCATCGTCTAAGAACTGGCAGGTGTACATGAAAAGTTTTATCTACGATGTTATCACAGTGTACGATATAAAAATAAAAACAAACGAGTTTACGCCAGGAGACGCAAAAGAGCAGAGTGTGGAGTCTGTGGCCATGGACAGACTGCTGATGATTTCGTTTTTGATGGAAACCATCGTCCTGGGTGTGCGGTTTAGAGGATACTACGATGCTGCAGTGGAGGAGTACAGGGAAAAAGAGAGAGAGCGGCACTTGCTGCAGCAGGAGCTAAAGAGACTGAAAGGCGAGATACTGGTGAGCGAGGGCACACAGGAGACAAAAGAGCTGATAGATGCCGCAGAGAAATCGATTAAAAAATTCAACAAAGAGTGCAAGCCTGAGCTCATCCGCAGCAGAATAGCAAAGTATTCTGATCTTTCATTTTTATTTGTGGGAGGCGAGCTGTTCTACGAGTACAAAGGCGCGTTCAGAAGGATAGACAGCTCTGAGTGGCCCACACTCATTTCTGCCTTCAATATAGAAAAAAAGAAAGACGGCGTGTTTATAGAGAGTGTCAAGAAGTACTTAAGAATGCTGTGAAGGCCATAGAAATAAAAGCAAATGTATCAGTGATCTGCGAAAGTGATGTTTGCTAATTTGCCTTGAAAATAAAAAGAAAAGAGCTCAGAGAGAAAAAGAGGAAGAGCAGCTGGCTAGCAATCATCAGATAGGAAGAATTTTAAAGACAAAACTTTTCTTAAGTGTTTTGCTCTTTTCTCAGAGCGCCGCCCTGCGACAGACACCAGGCAACAACAATACGCCCACAAGTAAATAAAGTTTCATGAAAATATTTGTTTTATATTTTATATGGGAGAAATACAAGTTAGCAAAGAAGACTTGATTCAGCTGAAGACGCTGATACTAAGCGAGCCCATATTCGCAGCAATATCAAAAACATGCAAATATTGCACTATGTTTATGAGCAGTATGAAGGAGCTCAAGCAGGAATCAAATCTGTTTATCATGAACAAGGACACACACGGTCTTCTATTCGACAAACTACGACACGTAGTAAAAGAGGTGTACAAACACAGGACAGTGCCTATAATATTCATCAAAGGAAGGTTTATAGGAGGATTTAGCGATTTCCAAAAGTACACAGGAAATATAAAGGGGCTCCTTGCTCTTGAATCGCTTGAAAAGGCGTTGGTATTCACAGAAGAAGGGAAATTGTTATGAAAATAAACTAATATTATTTTTATTTTTTGGTTGAGATAAAATGCTGTAGAACCTGGGTTGCTTTTGATGATATTTCTGTGCTGTGTGCAGACACGCAGAGCGTCAGCTCCTTTAGAATCTCTTTCGTATCGCAAAGCCTCATTTTTTTGTCTAGTATTGACTGCAGAACATACGAAACAGCTTGCCGCTGGAAAAATGAATATCCCTGTCTTTCCGTTCTTATCTTTGTGTTGTAGTCCAGAAGGAAAGAAAGCAGCCATCTATCAGAGTGCTCTATAAGCTCTTTTTTGGCACTGAATATGTTACAGAGGGTTTTTGTCGTTGCCAGGTACAGAATGTGCATCTTCTGCTCAGAGGTTGACTTCCACAGATCGATCAGAACAGAGTATATTTCCAGCAAGCTTTCTTTGCTGAGAGACTCGCTCAGTGATTCTATGAATATCAGGTAGTCTTTTACATTTTTTTCTTCATCTTTTATTTTTGCTATTTCGCTAAAGTCTACTATTTTTTTATTGCTAGAGTGGTTTTCGTATACTGTAGACTTTATTTGCATATTTTCTATTTTTGCAGAATCAACTTCTGGGAGACCGAGTATTTTCCTTGATATAAGAGTTAGATGGCTCCTGTCTTCTTTCTTTGTTTCTAGGTGGAGTATTTGCTGCAGGGCAGTCACTGCCTTTTTCCAGCACGAAGGATAAGCCTGTTTATTCTCATGAAACGACAAAAGCGTTTTTATTGCTGCACTGCGGGCATCCGCTGAGAGAGTTGGATGGCTTAGTATTTCAGATGAGAGCTTGCCTATGCAGTGCGCAATGAACTGGGAGGACAGGGAGTTGTTGTGTGACTGCGAGAGTGCCAGCCATTCTAGCAGTATTTCCATCTTTATTTCTGCGATGTATCGGTTATTCTGGATTCGCAGGGCTTCAACTGCTTCAAACTCTAGGAATGTCAGTCTATTGCTGTCCGTGACTGTGTTGTTTTTCAGCAGATGGGATATTGTGTTGAAAAAACACAAAGTTTCTTTTTTCTTTTCGTGTGCCGACACTTTGAGGTAGAGTTGCTTGAGTATCTCCATCACAGTTTCAAGAAATATGTCTCTGTGGGAGAATGTGAAGCAAATATCAGAGACAGTAAAAAACAGGGAAGTAGCATACTTCTCAGGCATGTCCATCGATAGACTGGGCTTTAGAGCGGAAATAACGGTATTTTTCATCTTTGGATCGTGCGAGAATTTAACGAGCACTCTTCCCACAAAGAGCCACAAAGAGTAAAAGCCTGCAGTATTTTTGACGCTTTCAAAACAACAGAAAAGCAAATTACACACACCCAGTAAAATTTTTCGAGAGCTTTCTAGAGACCTTTCGCTTACAGCATTTTCAAACGGATGCACATCAAGCTGGCACCCTCCTATTCCTTTGCATATACAGTCTGTTTCCGCCGGGTGGGCACCATTTGACTCGCTGGAAATATCTTCGTGCTCACCTGAGTATATTTCCATGTCTTTTGCGTACACCGCAGCAGCCAGAAAACGTTTGAAGAAAGTTTTGATAAGAGGCTCCCACTGCAGAAGACCGTGCTTTTGGCAGAAATAGATGGTTTCGAATATTTGGACAATTGCTGAATCTCGAATGTCGTCTCGTCTGTCGTACGATACACTGCACAGCAGACAAAATGTTGCCAGAAATATTTGCGACTGTATCTCCCTGGGTATATTCTCTGTGTGCGCGTGCTCCATCAGGTCTCTAATGCAGAACAGAGCCTGAAATGAGATGTTGTCTTCATTTATCACCTTGCAGCAGACGCAAAGCAGTTTTTCTGTTGTGATAAGACACTCGTTTGGCAGATGTTGGAGCATTCTATCCGTTATTATTTTCACTATTTCAAAAACTATCTTTTTCAGCTCATCAACCTCCAGCGCATCGACTAGAATATCATAGACACACGTCCATCCTCTGCCAAATGTTTCTCCAACTGTTCTTATCCCGAGCGAAATGTGCTGCAGTATGAGTTTGGCAAGAGCTATGTCTTTGTTCCTTATTTCAGAAAAAATGCTTACAAGCTCTGGCAAAATAATCACATGGATGGACTCAGAGAATTTGGATGCAAAATACGCATTCAAAAAGTACCCAACAATCTCTTCAGTTGTTCCTGCACCCCCTGCTGTTTCTTCCGGCTTCATCAGAAATATTTTGTGAATGAGCTGGATGGCTTCCTGTGGGAAATCACTCGCTCGGCTGCCAAGAGACAGCAGAAGACCCAGAGATCTGTCCAGCGGAATGCCAGCTGAGGAGCATGCGCCTGTCAGCCCCTTCTGGAATACGTCTGAGTCGCTTGCTAGCAGTTTTTCAACAGAAGTGTCCCATGCATTCAGCTCGGGAACTGTGTCCTGAACATACGACGAAAGACTGAAAAACTGCTGCCATCTCGTGATCATTTTGCTGTTTTCAAAGGTTATGCTGCTCGATATACTGTAGAATGTTTTTGGGTAGTTTTCTGCGAGCTGGTAGACTGCATCGACTAAGAGATCAAAGGCAGAAATGTCATCATTCGAAAGGTTTTTTATATTTGTGATTGCATCAGTCAATTTTTTCAGCGGCACTTCGGGCCATGTTTCTGTGCTGCACTCTATTGCGCTGATTGTTCGGCTAAAGTACGGCATAAAGATGGGGAGAATGGCCTTATCGTCCAGCTTTGTCGCAGTCTCGATTATTTTTGAAAGCTTCAAAGAGACCTCGCAATTTGCAACTGTGCTTGATTTTGCACCTAATGTGTCAATTTCTGCTATTCCGTTTATATTCACTGTCTCTGTGTCTGGTATTCTCAAAAGGTTGTCCACCAGCTCTGCACTGCTCAGAAGACTTTCTATCACTATCTCATGGGGAAGGGTGTATATAAACTCTGCCTTCAGAAGCCCTGCAGTGCTCTCTATTTCGATTCTAAACACCTCCAGCAGCATACTCACTATCCTGTATTTATCTTTTAAAATTGTTTTTAGCATCTGTGTAAGAATTAAAAATATTTGTCTGATTGCTGTAAGATCGCTTCCCTTAAGGCCCTCCAGTAGAAAATCAATTATTTCTTCGAGCAAGCCTTCTCTGCTTTCTTCTTCTTTTATAACTTCGTCTGCATGCTTGTCCGAAATACATGCTGCAAGTGTCTCCATGCCAAGCAAGCTTCTACTTTTTGCAATGTCTAGCGATGTTTTGACAATTTCTATGCAGTCTTCTTTTGCTTTCTCTTTCTCTGCTGTCTCCACCAAACGAGGTCTTTCAAACACACACTCTATCACATGAAACACCGTTACTTTGGCTGCACTTTCTGTGATTATCATGTCTTTTGACTCTTTTGCCAGCTGAATTCCTATTTTAAAAAGCTTTACGAGCTGGTCTCCTCGAACAAGCAGGGAGTCCTGGATGAGGGGCTGCAGCAGCTGCAGGATGCGTATTCGCACCTCTGACTCTGTGTGGACCTTCTTTTCAAACTCTTCCAGAATGTACGGGATGAACTCTTTTGATATGCAGTTTCGAACTATTATTTTGTGGATTATTTGCAGGCTGCTGAAGAACAGTTTGTTCTTGACAGGAATCTCCTGCAGAGACTTAATAAATGGAATCTGCACCAGCCGGTTGCTTTTGACATACGTGTAGAAGTCTGCCTCTGTTCCTGCGTACTTTTCCACCGCGGAGACAGCCTCCTGTGCTTCTTTCTTCAGCGTGCTGCTTTTCTGCATCTTTTCTTTGAGAATCGCATGAAGCGTATTTTTCATTTCCTTCTGCATTGGCGCTGTTAAATTGTAAACAAAATATTTATGAGCGAGAATTATTGTGTTTATTTTGGATGCTGGCTTTTATGCCTTTTTATGCACAGCATGATGGAGCTAGATGGTTGCACACTTTTAGTGATTTATCTATTCATTTTTATGTGCTATGTCTCTTATTATCAAACATGTGCTAAACAACAATGATTTTATGCTTATCTCTCTTATTAGATAAGATGGGAATGTGTTGATGATAGAAAAAGAAGGAGAATATTAGTGAAGAGAAAGTGTGCTGTTTTTATTTTAGAATATGCAAATGATTCTTGGCTCGTTATCGGCTCTAGATAGTTGTTCTCTTTTTCTGTGCGATCTGTGTGTTTTTCTTGTAATAATAATCTATATGTGGATGCTACTCTCTCCAAGTGTGTTTGCACTTAGTGCACGTATTGAAGATAGTCATCGGCTCGTCTGCGCTTCTCGTCTGCATCTGATAGTAGTTGGCAGTGGTTGAGAAGCACTCTGGACACAGGGCATACCGCTCTGGGAACTCCTGCGGCTCTGCATTTTCTATCATCTCTTCTTTTGGCGTGAGTTTTGTTTTTGTCCGGTAGATCCCTGGGATCTCTTTTCTGTACTCGCACTCGTCGCACTGGAAGAGTGACCGCGAGTTTACTATTTCAACGGAGAGGCTGTTCATGCATTTAACACAGAATGCCATTCTTTTTTCTTCTTTCTAAAATATTTTTTATAAGAGTTGAAAACGCTTTTTCAACGTTCTGTCCTGTTTTTGCTGATGTGTACATTATTTCTATCTCTGCTTCTGCAAAACTTTCAGATATTTTGTTTCCTTCTGTTTCTTCCTTCCTGTTCTCATCTTCTTCTTTCATAAAATCAAAATCAACAGTCTGCTCCTTTTTGTGTTTTTTGACTCTAATGATCTTCCTGTCTTCTGGCATGTTCTCGTCTACTTTGTTTGACGCGCACACAAACTCTGCGTCTCTGAGAGTGGGATGGCTGATTGTGTTTTCAATTATCTTCTTGTACTCTTCGCTTCCGTACGTATCGTATACGAACAGCACGCCGTCTGCACCAGAGTAGTACGTGTCCCAGTACGCGCGTATGGACTTCTGTCCACCTATGTCTAATATCTCTATAGTGTACGTGGTGCCATTGATTTCCTTCTTTATTTCCACTATTTGGTATCCGTAGGTTGGGTTTATATCGTTTATTTCTCTGTTCATGTACGCCTTCAGTAAAGATGTCTTTCCTGCATTGTCTGGGCCTAGGATGACAATCCGCACTCTTTTCTCTTTCTCCAGCACTTTCTTTACTATTGCACTCAGCCGCATAATAAAAAACGAATATTGCAAAATATTATATGGATAAAATCACCTATAATCAGAACAGATACTCTGCACCACCATCTCAAGAGCCGATGTTTTGTGTTTTTATCTGTCTTCTGCTCTTTTTTCTCTTTCCACTTCTGTGCGTCTTCTGTGTCCTTTGATATTATTTTAATTTTTTCGATTTAATGAAAACCCTCTGCATAGAAAACACCTTTCTCTATGTGAAGCTGGCTTCCCTGCTCAGGAGAACAAAGGCGTCGTTTATCACCGGGGCAGGCATATCTACCTCTGCAGGCATTCCTGATTTTAGGTCCTCCAACGGGCTGTTTAAAGAGATAAAACAGACATATGGGTACACGGGAGAAGATATCTTCACGCACTCTGTGGTCCATAGCAGCCCCGAAGCAATGGACATATACATAACACTAATAACAAAACTAAAAGAGTCGCTTTCCAAAACTCTTCCAACGCCAACGCACAAAATGCTCTCTCATCTGCAGAGCAAGCACAAAATAAATATTTACACACAGAACATCGACGGGTTAGAGAGAAAAGCGGGGATAAAAGAAGGAATACACTACCTACACGGAAACATGGACAGGCTAGTGTGCACGCACTGTCTGCACAGCACACCATACACTCTGGAGCATAACAAAAAATTGATAAAAGGCGTGCAATGCCCGTCCTGCACGGAAAGAAGAGCAAAAAGAGAGGCAGAGCAGAAAAGAAAGTGTCCAGTGGGCAGCATGATGCCTGACATTGTACTGTACGGAGGCCCGCACGACACCACAGAAACAGCAGAGTCTGTGCAGAGAGAAAAAGATACAAGCTTGCTAATTGTTATGGGAACAAGTCTAAAGGTGTACGGAGTCAGAAATTTGCTGAGAACCCTCGCAAGAACAGTGAAGAAGAATGAAGGCATTCGAGTGTATGTGGGCATAGAGCCTCCTCCAAAGCCCTTGCAGGTATATTTTGATTACTGGATAGAAGGAAAGTGTGATGCATTCTCAGACTCGCTGATGGAGACTATTCAGGGAGGCATGCTTCTCAAACAGATCAGAAAAGTAAAGGGAATGGACGGGATTATCGAGTCTCTTCGGCGGCTATCTATTGATCCAACAGCTGATCATGCCAGCCTTCCGCCCAAGAGCAAAGTGGCTGAATAGTCATAGCAGACTGTGAAAAAGAAAGAGTGCTACGAATGTGTTATGATAAGAAGAAAGACAAAGATCCGCTCTCTGTGTTTGAAATAGCAAAATACAATTATCACTTTAAAAGTATAAATTAATGGACACGAAGAATAAAGAGTAGGGATTGTAAATATTTTTATGAATTTGCGTTTTAGTGTGGACACTTTGCGCCTGCTAATTGAGTTTAAAATGTCGTCGGATAGATTCCCAGACAGACATCTAATGAATCTATTCTGTGATCTGCTGCCTGTTGATGGCGTCTGCTGTCTACTCTCTTTTTTAGCAGAGAATTCGTACGAATACTTTTACAGTTGCAGAGCTGCGGACAGTCCAAGCAAAGAAGAGTTTTCAGAGTGGGTGCGCAACTGGATGCAGCTGTCTGGGGCCAGGAGGCTAAAGGTGGAAGTGTCCAGAGACAAACTGAAAACACCGCCAGAGAAAGAAGGAGTGCCAGCTGAGGAGAGCGCGCCCACGTATTTTGTAGTTGTAGATAGCACAGAAATATCTAAAAACAGTTTGTCCTACAAAGCAAGAAAAAAACTCATCCACGAAATAAAAGAAAAACAAAGGCTGTTCCAGCCAGAAAAAAAAAGAGTAAGAGTGTCCGTATCAGAAGATATCCTAAAATGTGCAAAAAAAGAAGCTGCTCCAGAGGAGTCCACAGCACCTGAGCCGATAAAAGAGAAAAAAAGCGCTCCAAAAAGCAGTCTGCTGTCTTTTATCACAAAGAAAGACGAGCCGCACGAAGAAAGTTTCAGAAAAACACAGATGAAAGTATCAGGGATATTCCACGGAAATACTGCAACAATAAGACACTGCAAAGAAATAGCCAAGCCCATACGGATGGTGTTCTACCAAATACATGGGCAGGTAAGGCCGCCATACTACGCAGTAAAAACAAGAACATCTAAGCCGAATGTATGCAGCAGCAGAAGAAACTCGGTAAAAAGAATGCTGCCCCCGGAAGACTACATGTACGACTCAGACGAAGAGTGGGTGGAAGGCGACGGAGAGAGCATAGACGAAGACTCAATAGAAAGCGATGAAGAAGAGTCAGAGGACGCTGAGTGGGTGGAGGAAGACACAAATGAAATATTTTTCAGCAAAGGACAGCTGCCGAGAATGGACCATCCTTTGTTCACAGTATTGCTGGTGGATGAAACGAAAATGGAGTAAAAAATGAGGGATAGAAGCTGAATTATCAGCTCACTGCTGCCAGATAAAAGATGGGAGAACTGCACGCCAGCAATAAATGAATATTTTGTACGCTCTATATACAAATGCTGCTCTAATTTCAAAATGTATGCGGATGATTTTTATAACGCATAAACCCATAAATAGAAATTAATCCGTTTTTGTGCCAATTTAATCAGCTGTCGCGATGAGTGTTGAGAGTAAGATGTAAATCGTGTGGGTATGCTAATCTTGAGAGCAGCGAAAATATAAATAAAATAGCCTAAGTAATGTTTTATTAATGTAGCCGGATGAGAATGTTTTTAGCTGCAGAGTTTTCAAGAAGTGTTTGGCCTGTGCTACGTACTATGCAGCTTGTTTTGATATTTGACATTTAACATTGGTGCAAGAGGCTAGTAGAACTTTGGAGGCGATGTGCCGGTTTGCTGTGTCTTCTGGATTACCTCCACGCTGTCAATGTCTTCAATGAGCCAGCTTTTTAGATCCTCCCATTTTATAGGCTTAACTGTCAGCTGGGCCCACCACTCCAGCATTTCGCTCGTGGCATCTTTCTTGAATAGTTCGATTCTTTCGGAGTCTGATAGAAACCTTTCCTCTATCCTGTCAAACAGCGAGTACATCGCCATTTTTCTGTCTGAGCTGGGGATCTGTTTGCTCGCGCTAATCCACTCGTCTTCTTTTGGCCTGTCTGTGTACTCTGCTTCCTCCTCGAGCTCGTTGTCGCTTGAGCTATCTTTTTCTTTTGCAGGCGCCTTTTTCTGCTTGGCTCCTGTGAACATTCCAAGCGTTGTTTTTATTCTCTTCCACACACTTTGTGTAGATTTCTTTCCTTCAGTCATGGCTTATTTTTTAAGTCCACAATTTTTATTTTTTCAGAAATCGATATCAACTGCATGCACAAGAGATTGGCGCCATAAAGCCCCGCCTTTATGCTAAATTTTACGGAACCGTGCATAAAATATGATTTATTCGGCTTTTTTCTGAAAATAACAGAGACGTAGTGCGAGGGTCTGTGATAATAATTTTAATAAATTTTATCTTGCTATATTTTAGTCGGCAGCCAAGAGTATATGAAAGACATGAAGTATTATCAACGAAAAAAGAAGAAGAACAAGAAACATCTAAGAGATTTAACTATAAAGCAGCATGCAGCAGTCTTCATTGCCCTAGTTATTGCTATTATAACCACAGTACTATTTGTTAACTATCTCAAAAATAGAATACTCACGAATACCAACTAGTAGCTGAGCTGTAATGAGTAAATCTCAAGAACATAGAACACTTTAAACTGTTTGTTTCCACTGCCTATCAAATGGATAAATTACACATGTTTCTATATCTTTCTCCTAT